TTGAAGTACATCCTGTCATTTCAGACAATATTAATTAAGAAAATTTGTTTACATCCAACAAATTGGTACCTACATTCGACACACATCCGTTTGTTTTCAATGTTTGACTTAATGTATGTGTAAAGCAATAATAATTAAAACAATCCTCTGATTGAAATATCTGAGATTTGCGTCTAATACTAATCGATACCAACAATTTCATTGCTTACCATAACAATTGGAAGCTGACTTGGATTAAATATGAAGGTCTACACTTAGTTTAACCCAACGAAATGTTACAGTACTATCTTTCCGTTAACAGTTATAACAACAATGTCAGTAGCAACAATAATTATAATAATGGTGATAACAATTGTCAACAGCCTTTACTTGTCATATTCGTTATTATCCTGCGAGTACTTAAGCCATCACGTAATATACACACAGATATATGCCGCAGCAGCATTTGGCATACTCATAGGTATTAACTGCTGACTTCAGACAGAGTCTAAAGTCAATGTAAAATTTAATGTCATATTTAATGGTAAGAGCAATGCAAACAACAACAACACCAACAACACCAACAACAACACATTCAACTATGAAAATGATAAGGATTTGCCTTTGTAGGATGGACGTCCTTTTAACAAACTTAAATGTGGCAATGTAGGTGTTCGAACGGTTGTATGGGTATATGGTTCTGTGGACGCAATGACCAACATATTCTGCTCTTATTAAAAATGCTTATCTTGTTGTGAAGTGCGGCACACATATGGGAAATCCTTATTTCGTATTCATTGAATGAAATTACATTATTAATAAGAAATTTTCATATTTCAGACAAATGGAGTTCGTAGAACAATTCATAGAGCGCGCTTATTTAAATTGTCATTATTGCTATTTAAGGAATTATTAATTTATTAAACGAAATAATATTTTTAAGCTCCTTTAAAATGAAGTGCTTTAATCTTTACATGAGTGTTTTAATATTCAAATAAACAAGTGATTTTCAATAAATGAAATAATAGATTTTCTATAAGAGATCATGTTTTAATATATAATTTCTTAGTAAGTCATCTATGGCTACTGATTCTTTATGATAATAGGAATATTTCTATTAGTAAAGCCTTTACTGAACATTTTGTTTCAGCGTCTACATTTTTAGTAACACTTTTAGTAATTTTTTTTGGTCGGCGAAAATCCTCGTTGTAAACCCTCCCCGTGGGTGCTGACCGGGCAATGGGCATCATCCATTTTTTGGCAATTCGGGTCATGAAGCTCTCGGATGTTGTAGCTGAGGAACATGATGCGGCTTGTCAAGGACTGTGATGTGTCTAGCTAAGATGAAGGAAGAGTCTCATGTGTAGTGGTCGTGGTATCAACAGGGTCAGTGCAGGTGAGCCCCTTCCCTAGTCATAACTTTGAGGTGTCTGGCAGTAGACAAAAAATGCAAAATGGTCGGTTTTTCCATAAAAAACCAAATGGAGTTGAAGAATGAAGAAAATCGGGCTGGGATATCAGCCCAAACGTCGGTGGGAGGCGCAGTTGCTACCACCGGCGGGCGCGGTGATTTTATAAGCCGCGTCGCCAGTGACTGCACCTCTGCTGGGATCGGAGCAGGTTCCAGTAGTTGTACTACTACTGCCAAACAACAGCGCAGTGATGCCAAAGTTCCTGTAGACTTGGGTCACAAAGGCGCAATTTCAAAAAACAAAAATTCAATGCAACGCAGTGATGCCATAGTCCCTGTAGACTCGGATCACGAGAGCGTTGCTAGCGTCAACACAATTGAGGAGGAAGCTCTTCTTCGTTCTCCGGGGGAAGCTGCTAAGGCCATTCGTAGGCCTAGGGCTGAACCAAATAAGGAGGGGTTGAAAGCCAAATCCAGATATAAGGCTGCGATAAAACTCTGTGCTCGCCTCGGAGACCGGAATGATCTGTCGAAGGAAGAGAAAGACAGGCTAGTCTGGGCAAAAGAGGAGATAGAGAAAGGTCGAGCCTTTTTCGCAGGTAAAAGGTGGTGTGAACCCTCGGATTCCAAATTTGCAAATCGAATCGAGGAAGATATGGCATGTAAAAGGCAGCGCTCAACGGAAAGCGAAGGTCCTTCTGGAAAGAGGCAAAAACGTAAAGATGAGGCTGCCCCTCAACATAAAACTGCTACAAAAAGGACGAAAGCCGATACTACTAAAAGGCCGGAAGCGTCCACATTTAAAGCAGCAACAACAACAAAAAAGACGAAAGCCAGTGATCCAAAAGAACAGGAAGCGTCTACATCTAAACTAACAATGGCGGAGATAGTGGCCAAGCGACGCTTGATTGTGGCACTTATCGACCGCAGTGATCCACAGGGTCAAATGGTAGAAACTAGGTGGAAAATAGTGGAAATGAAGCTATTAGATGCTATGTTCGCCAAAATGAGCGCGGAACCAGAAGCTCCAATGCCATCATTCGACGGGGCCGGCTGGTTCAACGGAGTGAAATTACTGAAGTGTAAAGACGACTCTACCCTGAACTGGTTAAGGGAGGCAGCTAAAACGCTCCAAGGCCTATGGGAAGGGGCATCTTTGGAGGTTGTGGACAGGAAAGATATACCGTCTTTGCCCAAAGCGAAGGTTATTATACCTCGAGTGGTGAAGCCAGAGGATGCTCTTCGTCTCTTACAACGACAGAATCCGGATGTGCCAACAAGCGATTGGAAGGTGTTAAAGGTCCTCAAGCCAGCTAAAGAAGGCGAGGGACAAAACTACATCCTATTAATCAACAAAATGGCCGAGGACATTCTGTATTCACGATACGGGAAGATGTCGTGGGGAGTAGGGAGCGTGTACCTTCGACTCAAAAAACGACACCCAACCGATAGGAATTCTAATACACTTGCTGCGGAGGAAATCGAGGAGGATCTCGGTATTGAAGAAATCCTAAGCTCGTCCCTCAATCTTCGCGAAGGAGAGGAACCGGGTGTGATGAGTGCTGAAACCAACCCCGGGGAAGAATCGGAAGCTCATGCTAAAGATTCTACAAATAAACCTCCACCGAAGTAAAATTGCCTCAGCTGAGCTCCTCCTTAATCTAGAAGAGGGCGGCTACGATGTGGCTTTAATTCAGGAACCATGGCTGGCCTCGGGCAACCTGGTCTCTGGGTTAAATTCACGAAACTATAACACATTCATTCCACATGGGGTAACAAGGGTAAGAACTGTTATACTAGTAAAGAAAGGTATTAATTCTTATATTGTAAACTCTCTCTCTACAGAAGATCTAACGGTAGTGGCGGTTGACGGCGATAGGAACATACTTCTCGCGTCTTGCTACATGCCACATGAGGAAGAAATACCATCAGAAGAACTCCAAAGGCTGGTAGATTTAGCTGGCGAAGGAGAGCAAAGTCTGATAATCGGTACTGACGCCAACGCACATCATACGCTTTGGGAAAGCACTGACATCAATGACAGAGGTGAGTCTCTTTTTAATTACATAATACAAAGTAGGCTTAGTGTAGCTAACAGAGGAGAGGAACCGACCTATGTTGGACCGACCTCCAGAAACGTTCTAGATATAACACTCTTCACGGAAGATAATGTACAGGTGATAGAATGGAAGGTTCTTAACGAACCATCATTTTCAGATCACAAATATATTAGTTTCCAAATAGATTTTCAGTACCTTAAAAGCAGAAAAGTTGTAAGAAATCCCAAACAAACGAATTGGGACCTTTATCGAAAAATTCTGAAACAGAGACTGAAAAAAATTACGACAATTGATTCTTACGTGGATCTGGAAGCTAGGCTTGATCAACTTACCAGAGCCCTAACTATAGCGTACCATATCGCGTGCCCGCCAATGCGTACTAAACGTAGATCTCAACCTCCTTGGTGGAATAAGGAATTGGGATCAAAAAGACGCTACGTTCGCGAAATCTTCAAGCTGGCTCAGCTAGCAGAAAGTGAAGTCATCTGGGAAGAGTACAGAGATATTCTTAAGCAATACAAAAAAGACATTCGAAATGCGAAAAGAAACTCCTGGAAGGATTTTTGCGCAGGTATAGAAAAGACGGTGGAGGTAGCTAGGCTTAGAAAACTACTATCCAAACACCCAACTATGCCTAACCTTGTCAGGAAGGAAAACGGCGAATGGACAAAAACTAACACTGAATCACTTGTAGATCTTACTAATACTCACTTTCCTGGCTGTGCAATTGTGAGCAATACCGAACCGGTCAGGAATATAGTAGGCTCCGCAGGAAAAAATATTGTTACTCACGTGAGGCTGGAATGGGCAATCAAATCATTCGCTTCATACAAATCTCCTGGACTTGATGGTATTTATCCAGCTATGATACAAAAGGCTTCGGACCTAATAAAAACATGGCTGATAAATATCTTTAGAGGATGCCTGAAGCATAATTACGTACCCGTAAACTGGCGAGTGGCAAGAGTCATTTTTATTCCGAAAGCAGGAAAAAATGGTCACCTCTACTCTAGAGATTATAGGCCAATTAGTCTTACCTCTTTTATTCTCAAAATTTTTGAAAAAATACTAGCAGCACATATAGGAGACCAATTAGCTCCTGAAGTTCTGTCAAGAGCACAACACGCTTATACTAAGGGCAGATCCACGGAGACTGCTCTCCATACACTTGTCTCTAATATTGAAAAGGCCTTAGAATACAAAGAATACGCTCTAGGAGTTTTTCTGGATATTGCGGGTGCTTTCAATAATGTATCAACGCAAGCTATTTTAAATAGCTTAGATGATGTTGGTATAGACTCAGCCACATATCAATGGATGCAAGCCTTTTAAGCTGCAGACAGATAAGGGCAGAATGGAACGATACAACTCTAGCTAGGGAAACATGTAGAGGAACCCCGCAGGGAGGCGTTCTCTCACCCCTTCTCTGGTTACTGGTAATCAATAAAATTCTTAAACAATTTGATGGTAAAGCTCCGAAACTAATTGCATATGCGGACGACATCGCAGTAGTTATAACGGGGAGATGCCTTTCTACTCTAAGTGCGTTAATGAGCGACGCTCTCAAATCAATTTACAACTGGGCGACTGACGCTGGCTTAAGCGTAAACGCAGAAAAAACTGACACAATACTTTTCACAAGAAAGTACAAGGTCACAGCATGGACGCCACCTAACTTGAACGGAACTCTTCTGCCACTGAAAACTCAAACGAAATACCTTGGAGTAATTGTGGATAGCAAACTGACGTGGAAGCCTAATGTAGAAGAACGGGTAAAGAAGGCAACAAATGCTTTATACGCATGTAAAAGGATGCCGGGAAGTACATGGGGTCTCTCACCCGGTCTTATGTACTGGTGCTACACGGCTATAGTTAGACCTATATTACTTTACGGTATATTAGTTTGGTGGACAGTTGTGAAAAAGAAAACATATATAAAACCCCTGGAAAAGGTCCAAAGACACGCGGCGATGTGCATCACCGGTGCAATAAGAACAACTCCGACGGCAGCTCTAGAAGTTATACTAAACTTACCCCCAATTGATATCTTTGCCGAGAATATGGCGGCAAAAACAGCCGAACGGCTACGCATTACTGGGCAACTTACTCGAAGATCTTTCGGGCATAACGTTGTAAATCAGAACGCCACTCTTGATTCGGATTATATGATTCCGATCATGTACCCCGGAGCAACAATAAAAACTGTGATCGAAAACGAAGGATGGAAAAAAGGCATGGTGCCAAAATGCAACACAATAAATGTTTTCACAGACGGTTCAAAGATGGAAGTGGGAGTAGGAGCTGGTATATATTGTGCGGAATTGAGCATAAGAATGCCGTTTAAACTTCCCAACTACTGCAGTGTATTCCAAGCAGAAGTGTTTGCTGTTAAGAAAGCGGCGGAGCTTGTGTGTAGGGATGAAACCAGAAACTACTGCATAAATTTCTATGTGGATAGCCAAGCAGCCATTAAGGCGATCAAATCTTACTGGTCATCATCCAAAAATGTTCTAGAATGCAAGGAAGCTATAACAAGACTAGCCTGCAACCGCAGACTTTGTATGTACTGGATTCCTGGTCATAAAGGCATAGAGGGAAATGAGACAGTTGATGCTATTGCTAAAAATGGCGCAAAACTTTCAGAGGAACAAACGAGCGAAGTACTTAGACCTCTGAAACAAATACATAAACTTCTGGACGAGCACATGATAAGGAGAGCAAAGGAAAGGTGGCGGAACTTAACCACCTGTAGAACAGCTAGAATTATGTGTAGGCACATATATGAAGAAAAATACACCAAGAATGTTATATCGTTAAACCGAAGGAACTGTAGAACATTAATTGGTGTGTTGACAGGTCACTGTTTGGTTGCATCACATGCCCGAAAACTAAACCTTATTCACAACGATGCTTGCAGAAAATGCAATGAGCCGGATGCAAAGGAAACTCTAGAGCATCTGATGTGTAATTGCCCGGCTCTCTCGAGAACTCGACAAAAATACTTGGGAGCTTTCAGTTTTGCAGGACTGGAGTACATACCTGAGGTTTCTGTTGGAATCTTAATAAATTTTGCTAATGAAACGCGCATCTTAAGTGATGCTTACAAACGCTAAAACAAGACTCTGATCTGGTATCGCAATGGACCCTAGTGGTCTACGCGTGGCCTTTATGGCCTGCCAGCATAATCTAATCTAATCTAATCTAGTAATTTTTAGATGGTATTTTACTTAGTTAATTTATTATTTTGTTAATTAGGTATATTGTAATAATATTACTTTTTAATGTAATAAATCTACTTAATGTAAATGTAATAGATAGATTGGACATAAGTCACCCAAAAGCACAAATGACGTAGCACATGCGGCACTACTCTGGAATCCGCAAGGCAGTAGAACACGTGGACGATGTAAAACCATAAACAGTGAGCGAAAAAAGGAACGTTACCTATTTTAATAAAATTTCGTTATACACAACTAACATAACTCCTTTAGTTAATGAACACAGCAAAATTGCATATTTATTTGAAGAGTTTTGGAAAACAAATAAATTCTTATTTACAAACAGAAAAACCTATTCCAAAAGAGTTAAGTGAATATCCCATATATAAAAATCACAAAGAATAATAATTAACTCTTTCTCATAAATACTAAATAATTTACATTTTTCTGATAAAAAAGCTAATATATTTTAGTGTTATATCTAGCAATGTATAGATGTATAAAATCATTTTTTATAAATAATTATTTCGTCAAATTCATTATAATACATTAATTTAGTATTACCATAATACTATAACATGTGAGGAGCTGGAAATTTATATAGAGTTGGTTAAATAATATTACTAATTAATTCTAAAGTAACATCTCGGAATTTAATACAGCAATAGCCTTATTTTCTTGATAAAATTTTATTATCCTTTTACTTAGAAAAGTTATATACTTATATATTCTTTTTTTTATATATATATGAAGAAAATAAGAAATACGATGATACGATATATAAAATGAACAGTGGTTACATATCATTTTGCTTTTATTTAATCCTACACATAAATGACAGTTGTCAAGCAAATACATACATGCTGATAAAGTACCTGTAGGGACTTCTTTAGGATCAGGGTTGCATTACAACCTGAAGGCCTGAAGGTCTTTCTGCACGAAAAAGATGATCGGATTGAGTCATGTGGTACTTGTCATACATAAATATGTAAGTTCTCAAAATGTGCTTCACCTACAGCGCTTCTCCCCATAACTTTACCCAATGTTCTCATATCCTAATGCGCACATTAATTTGAGTGAAATTAATTTTTAGCTCACACATATTGATATTGTAATGCATCTTCCCTTCAATGTGAACCATCCACTCTCAAAATCGCTTAATTTCAAACAACCACTCTTCGTTTCAATTAATCCCTACATATTCAAAATTATTAAACTGTATATTTGGTTTTTATAAGTCGTTTTATATCTCCTGTTATGTGGATCATCTCATAAAGTTTAAAAAACTTCAGATTTCTTTATTATTTATAGCGTCAATATATCTCAGATCATGTCACCAAAAAATATTACTTTAGCTATCATCTAGGTTGCGATCGCAATGACTTTGCACGAAGTTATGAATGTTTGTGGATGATTAGCATTCATAGCCAAAGAATATTATCAACTGGTATTGCATTTCCGATTAACAGATCTTGAAACATCTTTCTCATAAGATAAATAAACATGTTAAAATTAGAATTTCACTGAAACAGATTTGTATGGAGATTATTTTATTTTATGAATATAGTAAGTATTAATATTATTATTATTAAATAATACGCTATTAAAGCACCCCGACCTAACGACCTAAAAGATATATTGTGCGCCTAAAAGACCAACTAGACAATTTTAGACTATTTATAAATTTTGTGATTTCTGTGGGCTTAATTTTATCTATTTGATTTGGGACTAAGATCGCGCTTAAAAGGTAGTCGAGTCTACGTCTTGCCGCCGCTGAACAGTTGCATATAACATAATCTGATGTTTCCTTCTCCTCACAACAGAGTGAACAGGAATCACTTTTTATTGTACCTACATTTTTCATGTGGTAATTGAGCCTACTGTGTCCTGTGTGTAGTTCAGTATAGATTTTAATATCGTTTCTGCTAAGCCCAAAGATAGCATCAACTTTGATATGTTCAAGATCAATGAATTTTTTTGACTGTCGCATGTCTGTTTGGGCTCTCCAGTGTTCAAGTAGATGTTGTTTCTCCCATTCACATAATAAACTATTTGTGAAGCTATTTGTTACCTCTCAGATGGGCTCTGGACCAATGAAAGGAATACATGCACCCTTCATATTAATATACATATCTCATTTTTAAAACAGTACATATATATTAATATATTTGTTTGATATACATTTATTTGTGAATATTATTAGATATATTATTTTATTATAACAATTATAATATTACACAAAATATCATTAAAAATATAATAAGAAATCTTCTTAAGAATATGTGTTGAAAAATGATTGATTAACAGTTCAAAAAAAATTCTTTCTGTTCACATCTTTAATAGATATAAAAGGAATCTAATTAATTTATATATATTTAATTAAATAATTAATAAAATGTGAATATCCATCACACTGAACTCAAAGTTCTTTTATTTGAGAGGAACACATAAAAGTCTTCGTACACATAAAATTCGAAGAAATAAAAACACTTCCTTGGAGTATTTGTACACGTTTCGCATTACATCAGATTTGCAATTCCAATAAATTCATTTATTTTTACATCGCTGACTTTTAATTGTGCTAATTTCACAGAATTTCCTTTTCCGTTTAGACAGCAGAAAAGTTTTGGCATAAGATTCATTTTATAAACAAACTTCATTTGCTCTCCTTCGCAACTCAACTTTTTGAAAATCTTGCAGAAAACGTAATAGAAGAAAAAGGCAATCAAAACCAAAGTTGAGGGAAAATAAAGCTTCCTCTCCAGAAAACCAAATGTAAACAGGAAATTACAGCAGTGAGGGGCAGTAAAAACAAACTAAAGCATTATTAAATTTTATGGCATTATTAATTTTTCGCTTGTCAACTATGAATGCGAAATGAACAACACGATTTTTACTACCAAACTTAGTGAACACTCAGCAAGGAGCTTTGACTAGGTGAACGAACATCCGTGAGCCCACGTGGAAGGTGGGCTCACGTACGGAAAGCGCTAAACACAAAACTGTCATTTAAGTTTGACTTCGCATTTGAAGCGCGTGTTTGCATTGCCAATTTTATTATAAAACGTTTAAGGTAAGAAACATGAGAAGATACGACTGGAACACACTTACCTAATCCTGACATGCAACAACAAAACCTACTGTTCTAAGTCGCATAAAAAAGTGCTGTCGACAATTTTGTGACAGTCACGCGTGCCACAAATACGAATCGGTTACTGTCAATCCTACCACATGCGGTGGAAAATTTATCTATTTTGCCCGGATCATGCTGCTGCGTGTCTTATTAGCTGTGAACATGCTAGACTTCGATGTCTAAACTTAGACTTAATGGAGTACATGGCATGGTGCTGTATGTAACCAAATAGGGAGCATTGTCTTCTCACTGAATTTGATATTCCTACATATATCAATTTTTGCTAGTCGAACGTGTGCAGGTGAATTTTTATATAGAATATTTTTTTTTGTGGAGATTTTGATTTTTCATTTAAAAATAGTATTCTTAAATTATAATTAAATTATATCGTAATAAATTTTTAATCATCATTTTAAACTATCACAGCTGATAGTTTAAACTGACTGCAAATCTATAAAGTTTGAAAGCTGAATTTGCATTTATAAATGCATCTGCCTGATTCTAGCTTGTTCTTCTCTCTACTTCCTACTATTACGAGGTTTTAAAACGGCTTTCATAGCTAATCGAGGAGGACTCGTTCCTCCCTTCATCTCAACTAACTAACTAACTTATATACTTATAAAATTAATATATATATTTCAAATAAATGGAATTATATTAAATAAATTATTTATTTTCTATTCAATTTGTCGAAATTTCCACTCCTCCACAAAAATACTATCAACTGTCATCAAAAACAAAACTGTTTTTTTTTCGAAAAGTAGTGAACTACAACAACAAAAATTTTATTTTTTATATTATTATAATTAATTGAATTTTTGGCTGACCACACAGCTGTTTTGAGTATTGTCAAAAACCCATCATCAATGGTTTTGGAAATAGTTCTTGTAACTATTTAATTATTCGTAAATAAGTTTTTGAGACTGCAAGTACCAGTAATCGAACACGTATCCTGCCAAATTTGAAGCTCAGAGTCAGCGCTTCTTAACCAACTGACCTAAAGCCGTACTTGAGTTTTATGTTTGCACTTTTTTCTGGAGTTTTGTTAATTTGCTATGAAATTTTATTAATAAGCTCACTTGCTTTATTTATCTTAAAACGAAATCAAAAATATGTATATAAAATATATTTAAAAATAATAAAATTTCTCTAGACTCATACTTAAGTATGTACATTTTGAAAAAATAAAAATTTATGAAATCTTAAAA